GCACAGTTGTCCTGGGCAGCTCGCAGTTTTTATTAATTCCAGTACTTTTGTTTACTGTAGTTCCTACAATCTCACCAACACGACTTGAAACAGTTGAGGAGTATATGCCATTGGCACGGCCGCGGTCTCACCATCCCACCCCAAAGGCAAGTCAACTCATACCTCAGCTTGAAGATTCTGATGATAGAGGAAGGACACAAGAGGCGGAAAAAAACGATATTATAATGGGAGACAAGGACTGGTGATTTCCCGGGACCCCGGGCAGCACCATCCGGCTCCCAGGCTCCGGAACTATAAGAATGAAGCAAAACGCGACACAAGGATGTCCCGGACTCCCGGCACTGCCCCGGTTTCCAAGCCACATAAAGGGAAACAAGAGGACACTACGATGAGAGACAAGGACTGACGATTTCCCGGGATTCCCGGGAGCGCCCTTTTGATTTGGATTTCGAAAGCAACATTTTGAAGACGCCTAGCGGTTTGTGGGCAAGCCTAGGCTCGGCAGCGCATGGCCGCTGCACTTTGTACACCTACTAATTGCAGCCCGTGACGTATCACAAAGCGGACGGAAGCAACACAACCAACATGAGAGGATAAAATTATTGAGGGCACAAGGTGAGACATTGGCTGTGCAGCCCAGGAAGAAAATTGGACTTGATGAGCCCTGTACGCACACTGCAGAGTGCACGCAACTGAGGGTCACTGCCTCCATAAGCAATCGGGGGTCACATGCGGGAGAAGCGTTGGGAATGATTGCGCCGCGTCAGAGGCAGTCCAAGCTTACGTTCACGCTGCCCGGAGATCGAAGAACAGGACCTCTGTCTCCTTGACGCCAAAATTGGTTCTCCAAGATCAGCCTCATCTAATCCCTGCGCGCCGCTCCACAAGGCCTTGTGTGGTCGCCCGAAGTTTTCCGCTCGTTTGCAACATCGTTTGCCTCCCGTCGTGGCTGAACGAAGCAAAGAATTTGACAGTGTGCCTTCAGCGTATTACCTTTGAAGAGTATGTCGTTGTACGCGTTGATTTTCAGGGTTTACCGGCCAAAGTAAGATTGATCGTGTGTTTGGAGAAACGGGAAGAGATTGCCGCCAAAGTTGAGCTCGAGCCGTACGCGGCTCTAACACAGGTGCTAGGACGACCCCCCGATTGGTAACCTTCAGGCAGGGACGGCCCGGCTCCCAGTCTTGATGCTGAGGATTCCACAAGGCATGCGTAGAACTATACAATTCCATGTGCTGAGAGGGTGTTCTGCGCCGCGCTTAGACCCGGGTTCTATTGATTGTGGCGTGCGACGGTGAACGACGAAAGTCATGGGCAATTGACAACGCTCCCATCTTTGACACCAGCGGTAGCCTGGAGAGGTCCACGCGCATGTGTAAGGCTGCTTTTGTGATTGTCCACCTTGGCAATGATGCGTGCTCAGGTCATTACAAGATCGGGCTGAGCACGCCTGGGCGTTTGCTAGGACTGGCGGCGCAAGCATAGAACTTCATTATCCGTGATGATAACGTTGCTCCTTCCAGGGCTACCTCCAGGGAGTACATCATTGGAGCCGTCAGAGCCTTGCGACGCATGATTTGCTTGCGCGTCTGCGTAGTGGTACGCCACGGGGCGCGCCACGTTGCAACCCCAAGGGAATGAGTCGTGCCTCCACGGTAACAGTGGTTCGAAGCGGTCGTGCGTAATTCTTCTTGTTATGTCTGACTGGGCAAGGCAGCTCTGACTTCACGAAGTGACTCCTGCTGTTGCTCAAACACTATCAAGCATGGGAAGCATTTTCTATTTGCCTGACCATGGGCGACGTGTCTGATGATTCTGACCCCTTATGGGAGGGCATGGGTTCCTCTGACAGGGATGGAGTGTTGAGCAGTCATGAGATTGAGGCCTGTGTCACAACACATCGAACGAGGCTTCAGTTTGCTGTTGCAAGGTATATACAGCACTGGACGCTTCAGCGGCTTGATATGATGCATGTGGAGCTGTGTCAGGCAGCCACTGCTTACTGGAATGATATTTTGTTGATGAGGTTAATGAGAATGACAGACGCGCAATCTGGTTGCTCACTGGGCATCCGTGTTTTCCCATTCGCGCCCTTTGTCAGCAAGTAATCATGACTCAGTTGGCTCTGCATTTTCGGACACTGTCTTGTGACGCATGAGCTGAAACGGGTTCAGCAAGACACGCTATTTCTTGATTGCATGTATCTGTACTCGTGTGCTTTGCCTGCAGCGGAGCTTGTGATTTTTTCGCACATTTAGTGGAGACAGGGCAAAGGCAGGGGAATAAATTTCGAAATTGCAGCTGGGCGGGTACCTGGAGAGGTGTCGGTCAAGCCGTTTTCATGACTGCGCTCACTGGATGCATATTGGTGCTTCTTAAGGATTACTTCAGTTTTTCCCTTGCAGTCCTCGCAGCTGCTTCCTTATCAGGATGGCTGTGAACACACAGAGCTTCAAAACAAGTGCACGCCAGAGCAGTTGCCTGCTATGCAAGTTTGGGCGCTTTAGCAACTTTAGCACCCTCCCCGCCGGGGGAGATGCATAGAGTCATAGTTCTTGACACGCAGAAAGGCCGCGCTGATCTCTGGCGTCATCTCCACGAAACACGGCCCCAGCCTCTAGTTTCCACTGATCTGGGGTCAAGTTCGGCCTCCTTGACGGACAGAATAACCACTATAGGTTGCCGAAACGCAATACGTTCACTGTACGATTGGCCCACGCTAAAACATCAGCGTTTAACATGAATTCATCAAGCAAGCCACCCTTTCTCCTGGCCAATGGCCCCGAAAGCTCATGACTGGTGACTCGTACACCAGTAAGCCAGGAGGAAGCAACGGCTTACTGTGCTGAGGACCCCGCAACTGCGGCAACGAAGGGGTACAAGGTATGGCAGGAGCAGACTGGGACTGGGCATATAAGGCAACAAGGTACGGCAGGAGCAGCTTCAGACTGGGCATTTCAGGAAACAAAGATGAAAGATGACGCTGCACGCGGCTACGGGGTAGAATGCAGAACGGCGTGAATTACTACCCTCAATGGGGTCACGCACAAAATCCTTGCCACGCGAGCACTGGCAAGGCTAAACTCGTAGCCAATCACTTACAAGGGGTTAAGATCTTGCATGTTTTCAGCAGTGGACGTCGTGAAGAGGACAATAACACGCAAAAAGTGGCGATGAGCAGCTCTATCTTGAAAGGCAACGACCTCAGGTAGGAGCATCCGGCGTCATCACATGGCCACTCGACCGGCACTTGGCCGCCCTGATGTAGGACAGGCGCCGCCTGGATAAATTGGAGCACCACTGCGTTTTGTGGGTTCATCCGCATCGGGAGACAGCCGCAGCTGTGAGCACATGCATCTAGCACGCAGTCACGATGCTTCAAAGGCTGCCGACATGATCTCTTTGCCAGGCGCCAGCGAGAAGGACTGACACTAGCAAATGATCGCCAAGATGATAACGTCCATGCGCAACTCTATTCGGGTTCGAGCAGCATCCACGCTGGCCAAGTTAATAACGTCCACGCGCGACTACATTCGGGCTCGTCGAAAAGCACACACGCTGATAATAATGCCCACGTGGCACTATCTTCGGGCTCGAAGAGAATCCGCGCTGGCCAAGACAATAGCATCCACACGCAACTATGTTTGGGCTCAAAGAGCAGCTGCGCTGGCCAAGACAACAGTGCCTACGCGGTCCGAAGAGCATCCACGCTGGCCAAGATAATAATGCCCACACGCGACCACACTCGGCAAAAACTCCGCTTTCAACCCAGGCACGCTCGTGTCAAACGCGTTCGAAAACTGCGGCAACACCTCCTAGACTCCTCAAGGCAACCAGTTTGCCTCTCTGTCTAGCACTTCAGGCATATTCTTTTTTACGTGGTGTCTTAGCAAGGTGCGTTTCGCCACAGTTTCGCGCGCATCACAGCTTTCAGCTTATCAACTGCAAGTACCTCTGCAAACTCGGTGGCTGCAGGAATGCCTGGATCTTCAGCAGAATCCCTGGTCTGTCTTTCGGCCAACTCTCCTAGACGAAAGCTTAGCCCAAATGCTACCATCACAACATGGATTGTTCGGAAAACGAAAGACACGTCATCACGAAGGCGTCTAACACTGTCAGGAACCGCACGCACCTACAACAGATTGGGCACCAGCAGAGCTTCGACTGTTAAAAAGGCAACCCGCTTGAACACGCACAGACTCAACTTCAGCTTCTGCTAAACATCCCCAGCATAAAGCGAATTTCACTTTCGAAGATCGGCGCATGCTGCACTATGCGAGACGCATAGAACGGAGCATCCTTTGGGCAGTTGACTCTGAGCTTTGAAACATGAACGAAGAAGGGCAGTGACCCGGGCAGCTTAAGGGCAACTTTCCTGGAATCAACACCCAGGCCTGCGCTACGCACCAAAGGCCATTTGTCCGTCCGACATGTACTGGCTGGCAAAAGACCCGCTGTTCGACTCAACGCCGAAGTACGAACACCAGAAAATGTCAGTGCTGTAACCACTTGAAGAGATTTTGCTGCATTTCCCACTCCTGCCTTTGTTGGAGGCGGCGTGATAAGAACTCCTTCAACTTCTACAACACTTTCTTCAAGTTCCTCTTTAACTTCAAATTCGATGTACTCAACCTCCTCCTGCTCAAATTCCTAGCGCGAATGTCAAACAGGCGACCTTGACCTCCTGCATGGGTGACACGAGCGTCTACGGGAGTCCTA